CGATGAGGACAGCGCCCCGTTTGTGTTCATGTCTTGTTAAGCGATATTGTCGTTGTCCTTGTTTTTCGCATCATAATGAGAGATAAAACAACAGAGGCACACATTTACTGTACTCTGTGCCCATCTTCCACTTAATTTCGGAATTCTCGGAACGTCGCTCAACGCCCGGTCGTCCAGTGTCGTGCCAACGCGGTTTGCGCTGAATATTAGATAAAATAATAATAGTCATTGAGGAAAATATAAAATATGTAAGTTATTTTTTTTTTTTTTGTTTATTATACTAGGCCACGTGCCCAGTGCCCTTACGGGCAAACCGCCACTGGTACCTATGTAGGTAGAATGTAAGCTGCGATTGACTTGCGGTTTAATTTCACTTGATACTTTCTTCCATCCGAGTACTTTATTGATTTGCAGAATTTTCGGTTTAACTTTAATGCTTCAATGTTCTTAAAATATAATTTCTATGGAACTACTTCATGCCCTGTAGCACTAGATAGCCATGCTCATCAACTGTGAAATCAGACATTTTTCTATATTGCTGTCATTCCAAAACGTCAAATATAATAGTTTTTTAAATGTCTTTTAATAAAGTTTATTTGAGTAATTATTTATTGAAAATAATACACTCAGATGCAAAAAAATTTTGGTCTAATTGAATGTATTACAATTTTTTTCTTTTTAATCTTATTTCGATAAATTTTTTGGCACACCGTATATAGTTTTATCAATTTTAATTTGTGTATTCAGTATCTTCATAAAAATTAATATTATTAATATTAGAGAGTTATTGCAAGATCACTTAAGGCCAGTCACTTAGTGCCGCTCTTATTTTGACATCTGAGCAGGCGCAGATCACTTATATTCTAGAACTGACTTTAATAAAGATTTTGTCTGTTTAAAGGCATTTCTTTATAAGCTTACCAGAACATACTTCTGTAACCAGAGCATTTCTTTATAACGTTTGGTTACTCTGCTTTGGTTACATGTTACCAAAGCATATGTAGCTACATCTAACGAGGCATTTAAGGCATTTCTTTATAAGCTTACCATAACTTACTAGAACATACTTATGTAACCAAAGCAATTCTTTAAACGGTTTGGTTACTTCCATGACGTCATACGTTACCAAAATATGTAACTACTACTAACCATGATGTTTTTAGGGGTAAGGTGTGTGGTAAGGTCAGTAAGGTCCGCATTTAAACATATCGAGCATGCGCAAAGTATTGTAAAGATATTAAATTAGATACATTTTTCTGTGGTTACGGGTTATATGGTTCATTTTGTATATTTGGGTTGGGCATTTTTGTATTTACCAAAGAAAACTCTATTTACTATGAAAGAAATTATATTTGAAATACAGGGCACTGAAATAACTCTTTACGAGAGCGATGTTGATGGCCATTGGATACTGTTATTTATATTGAAATATAAAGATGAAAATATGGGACTACTGGCACAAGTATTTATCATTGTTATTTCATAACAAATAACACTTATTAATTTTTTTCTTCCTTTTGTTGGAGGAGACATATTTAAATAAATAACAAAAGAACGAAAACCAAATGACGTCTGTGACAAAAACACTTTTATTTATCTGAACAAAAACAAAGTAAACAAATCCCCAATTTGACATGTGACAACGACAAGTGCTACGAGTTACCACGGTATGTCTGACGTCATCAGAGTAACCACAACGCTGTTACGAAGTATGTCGTGTTAAGCTTATAAAGAAATGCCTTTATTTATAAGCTTACTAGAACATACTATAATAAAAAATAACAAAGTCAAAACATCCTAAAATTTCTAAAATACAAATTTCGTTTAGAAATCCCCAAACTTAAATTAAATTTGACATATAACATTCAATAATAGGGAAACCATGGTATGCGTAATGTCACCACAGTAACCACAATACTGTAACCAAGTATGTTGTAGTAAGCTTATAAAGAAATGCCTTAAGGACAGATATGGAGTCTGGAGTGCGTTTAGAAACCTCGCACGGCACGTCTGGGCCCTATTCTAATGGTTAGACGCGCCGTGCGAGATTTCTAAAGGCACTCCAGTTAGTGTCGACTTTATAGTTTTCGGGTGCGCTCGCCAACATTCGTATCCGTTCGAAGGTTTTTAATATTTAATATAATCGTCATCTAAACCTTCTAAAATTATAATTTCTAATGCCTCTTCACTATTATGTACTATTATAGACAACAAAAAAGATTAACTATTAATTTAAAGTCATTAAAATGAGGTTAGAAAGAAAAAGGATTTATATGTCATTGTATAAAATTTAATTTATATCTCATACAAGAGCCTCGTGAAAAACAGAATTTATTTTTTGTTTAGAAAGCGAATAGAAGCAGTTAGCATTTCTTCTTAAACTTCAAATCCAGTCTATATCTTCCATGTTTTGACATTGAAGATAAATATAGTTTTCTGAAAGCAAAACTATGGGAGAAATGATGAGATTTGGTGTTCGGGTTCGAGGAGCTGAATTACAGTAAGACTATACCCAAACCAATATAGTGGTAACTAGACATGAGGCTAATTTTTTTCTAATGTTCGAGATATAAATTTAAATAGTTGGTACCAGTATTTTCACTAGTAATACCACTAGAGGTCAAAAAATTTCCTGATATTAATTTGACCTCGCGTGGTATTCGGTAAGAAAATTCCACGCCGAATTATGGTTGAAAATTAAATATTTTTAAAATTTATTTTTCGTTTCTCAACAATGCAAATTATTTTCTCCAAGTCACCAGTGAAACATAAAAGGTGTTGTCGCCTTGATTGTTGAGTTGTCATGGTAACTAAGTGAGACCCTAACCTCGAATATAATTTCAGTTTTGAAGTTGTCAAGCGGCCCGACGTAAAAAAATATTTCGCTGCAATTATTTAGGCCTTCAAATTGCTTATTTCTACTCATTGTAGTTGCATGGGAATACCATTTGAAAATAGAAAATAGTATATTCTTTAATTTTACGTAAGTTTTGAATAACTACAAGTGGTAGAAAATTTTTTTTCTGCGTTTTTATTAACATGCGTTATGAGCGCTTTAAAATGGTATGAAATTCATAACCAGCGTCAGCAAGCATCAATCGTAGGAGGCTATGATCATTGTATTTTGACAGTTCAAAACATTAAATAACTCGCGTTTTGTTGCGATAAAGAATATTGCACAGCAAGTAAAACCAACAAAATAACCTATTTGTTTAAAAATGAATCGATTTGAAAATCATACGCTATGCAAAATATGCGTGAAATTGTCTGATGTAATGATCAATCATTGCACCATGACTTACTTACTCGGATTAATAGAGGATTGTGGCTCCAACTTGAAAAACGAAAATTTGTTCCGAATTGTCCACGAATATTTGCATCTAAACTACGCAAAATTCAAAATGCTGAATGGGAAAAAGGTGAATAAATTAGTGTCTAAATATTATATATATTTTATTAGACATAGACACATAATTCAAAGCATCCAAAGTCCTGCATTTTCGCCATTAAGAAGAAAAGAAGTGGCCGAAGAATATAGAAAACACCTTAGCATTGTAACTAAAATGTATCAAAACTAAACCTATTATGTGAACAAATAAAAACCAGTCTGTCAAAAATGGTCTGTTATTGTGAACGTCAAAAAATTTCCAGTATAATTCGCTGTTGGGTACCCCACGAGAAAAAAAATTCCACTAAAATACCTCCGTTGCCATGGTGATCTGTCAAAAACACGTATTTTGATTGGTTCAAAATTACAGATGTGGAATTTTCATACAAATACTAATTCATTTATATGTATGTTGAATCTTATTTTTTAAAGGTTATAACAGTTCTTTTTTACCTAAATTATATATAAGTTTTAATTAATTTCCTTTTGATAAAGCTAGAGTTTATAACTCTCACTAGCTTTCTAAAAATAAAAAAAAGAGAATTATTGGCGCCCCTCTAGTTGTGTCTATTAGTAAAGCCGAATTCACGATTGAGAAAACTATATAGTCAAAGTGCTCATTTCTTTTTTTTTAATTTGATTAAAGGTAAGCAATGTTTGGTGTTAAATTTCTATGAACTAGTCAAAATTTCTTGATAAGTGTCTATTATACAAATTGGCGCCCAACGTGGGGCTTCAATTTGTAATAGATTGCCACGTTGGAGCGCCAATTTGTAATAACTCAGCGTTACTTTGCAATAAAATGTTAATTTCAAAACACATAAGAGTGTAGTTTTAAGTTAAAGTAAATGTGGATTTTAGGCGAATAATATATTATAGAATGGTGAAGTAACGAAGATTTTTGTAAGAGTTTTAACGAATTCAAGATGAATTTTATATTAGGATCAAAAAGTTAAAGAGCCCTAATACGATTTTTACATGGGCAGGCTTAAGAGGTAAAGAGTTCATATAGTTCTACATCTGCAGCCTTAAGGGGCAGCAAATCCGAATATTTTTACACGTGAATGCTTAAGAGGTTAAAGGGCTAAATATTTTTACATGATCAGGCGTAAGGGGTAAATGGAGAAAATGTTCATGCTGATTAGATAAACATTTTTACATGAGTAAGCGGGTAAAGAGACAAATATTTTTACATTGGCAGACTTAAGAAGCAAGGGAACCAAATATTTTTACATAGACAGTTTCAAAGTTTATAGAGTTCAAATACTTATTTTTTTTACAAAGGGCTCGAATATTTTATAAATTTTTGAAATTCAAACAATTTGCAAAGCCTAATCAAATGTAAACAAGAAATGGTTCTTAGAACCCAGAGGGCTAGCAATATGAAGACCTTCAACGTGGTTTTGCTTAAGTAACGCCAATGCACAAACCTGATAATTCTACGTCTCAATACTTCGTCTATCATTCAAAATCAAATCAGTTCTCGTTTCTTTGCCCGTGGGGATCTGTCAGTATAAGGTGAAATTTACCAGTTTAGGGATACTCGAAATTTATTTTTATTTTGACCCTATAGAGTCAGACCTTTAAAAATAATGTAGAAAAAGGAACTTACCCAAAAATGAGCAATTACATTCACATCAAATGTACGTTTTATTAAAATATCTGGCGTGTCTAGTAACGACTGGCCTGACACGACTCCCGCATTATTTAGTAAAATTGTTACCTAGAAAAAAATTAATAATTAATGAATTTATAATACTTCAAATTAAATTGTTTAATACGAAAAATTTAAATGATAAAACAACTTACATCTCCAACTTCTTGTTGCGTCTTTTTCGCTACCCTGTATACATCTTCTTTATCAGATAAATCACATTTGTATCCATAAGCTTTCCCGCCTATGCCCTTAACTAAACCTACGGTTTCTTCTACACCTGCAAAAAAAAATAAAAATTTATTAGAAATACCGACCTCTCAAAGTGGCCAAATTATTAAAAAAACATGGGCGCCGTTCAAAAAATTTGCAAGGGGGCAAGTCTTAGATGCCATAAGTCAAAACACCGCAGGCTACAGTCGAAAGTCATGGCGAACAATTCAAAAATTCACAAATCCAGGGTAGGACAGACTCCCTTGGGTAGGGCGCACATGCTTATATTCGTTAACATGTTCATAATATAATGGGCTATATTTGTTATATGTATTTTCCGAAACAAGTGCGAAAAGCGGAACTTTTTCCCACCCGAAAACAATCGCCAAGCAAAAAATATTCTTAGAAATCACAAATAAAGTGCATTTAGCTATTCTTATCTATGTACACATATATGCAATTATTCTAGTGTAAATAATATTTAAGAATGTGACCGATACATTTATATTTACTCTTCTATTTATCGATGTTTAATAATAGGTATTACAATACTTACATCTTATATCACGTACTTACTAAATAGTAGTATTTGACAAACTCATACATATATCGTAGTTCTGAGTCTGAGTAGGTCAACATTCAGCATCTTTATTTAGTTTGTTGCATGAACGAATAAATAAGCAGGTATAACTATCCATTATTTTTGGAATACACATTAAACAAACAAATTAAATAAGTAAAAATGTTATATACGCTGGTTATTTAACTAAATATTATGAATTAGCTAAAATTATTGGGCTCATTGGTAAAAAATGAAACATTTCCAGGAGGGCTATTTTCAAACTCGAGAGAATTCATTTCTCTCAAGAGAAATGTCATACGGCAACGTAAATCAGTATTTTTAGGGCTCTTAGGGCCAGTGTGAACTCACTGACTGTTTCTCTCGGTTTATTTGGAGATAATTAAAATTCTCCTAAGAATTTTAATCCTCGAGGCCTTTAAAAACAGCGTTTCCACATTGACATGACATTTCTGATGAGAATATTGAGAGAAATAAGTGCTCCCACACTTTTAAAATAGCCCCCCTGAAATGATAAAATTTAAGAACATGGAATCTGGTCAGGGAGTCCGTTTCACGCATTGACTTGAATTTGATTAAGGAAACTTGACTCTCTCAATGAAGTTGAGTGGGGGAGAATGATAACGGTCAATGAAAAAGTAATAGGCATTCCAACGACCTGTCAAACTGCTGACAATCGGGAACTGACATTTAGATATGGCAACCCTGTGAGCCTGTTGTCGTTGACAGGGTCAATGATACATATATAGTTATGTAGATTGCTCAAAGCTGGTCGTTTACGAGCGGCCATATTGCCTCGCAAATGTTCATTAATCAGAATCGATTTTGCAAAAATGTGTTTACAATCCAATATTTAGCCTTTGAATAGAGAATTAAAAATAAGTACCTATATTTTTACTTCACGGCATAAGCTTATGTTTTTTTAGAAAAATATGGATAATCAATCTATGTAACTATTTATTTCATTGACCTTGTCAAATCATCAGGTCATAATTTTGCCAAATCATAACCTGTCAAAACCTACATTTTGTTTGGAATGCTAGCACATACTTTGATTTTCTTTTACTATACGGAAAGTGCTCGCACTGCGCAGCTTTCTGAGTGCCTTTTAAAAGGAGATAGAAAACTCCGCCATTTTGAACCCTTATTACGTGTTGCCTACATCTTGGCGCAATATTTTTAATAGGTGCGTTTTAATCATCTGCTTCTGCTTCGGAATTGTCGGTTTTCTTGTTTTAATCTGACAGGTTAAAACGACTAAACCGACAATTCCGGAAGCAGAAGCGGATGATTAAAACGCACCTGATATTTTGCTTGCTGCTGTCAGTGTCAGTGAATATTATTTTTGAAGTCACAGTTTATTGCCAAAGAATCAGTTAGCTCACTCGGACCAGTTGAAAGTTCCAAAATAACATCCACTCCAGGGATACAAATTCAGGATACGCAGAAGATTGCTGTTTTATTATAGGCGGTTGTCATATATTGTATTATCCGAGTTGCACAGTGTATAAACTAAAACATTGAGATCCAAAGTGCCGACGCAGAGGGAGCGATCTGATTCTTTAGCTGTAAACTGTGTCACAGGGTTCAAAATGGCGCGCCCTATGTTGGGCGTGTCGGACCTCTCTCTTGCCTCGTATAGTAATCAAAGTATGTGAATGCTAGTCACTATGCACAATTTCGTTTTGCACATTTTGTAAATAAGATGCAGGGACGGTCAAAGAAAATTTTGTGCAACAATTGAAGAAACAAGTGGATAAAAGTGATAAATGATTTTTATTGCCTAATATACTTAAAATATACCATATTTTTTGTTTGTGATAATTATGATTTCCAATTTTGATAAATAACGGCAACTCGTCAGATACCTTCCTATCTGACAAGTTACAAAAACAGTTCATAACATACTAAAAACAAAATAAAAACGTATAAACAACACAAGAATTTATAATTATCTAGTCCTGCAATAACACTAGCAGGGATTAGCCAATCCTAAGTCAAGTATCCTTGAATTTGATGCCAAACTCCATAATAACAATAATTATTATTCCGTTTAACCAAAATACGACAACACACCAAATCCCAGAGATATTCACAGAATATCTTTTGTGGATATCCAATATATCCACAGGATATCAGAAATATCCCGTGGATCTAATATGGATATCCAAATGTCCGTCTATATCCAGAATATAGAAGATATCCTATGGATATCCAGCAAAATATCTATCTCCCAGATAATACAAGAAATCCTAGAGATATTCACAGAATATATTTTGTGGATATCCAATATATCCAGTGGATCTAATATGGATATCCAAATGTCCGTCTATATCCCAGGATATAGAAGATATTCTATGGATATTCAGCTAACTATTTTATGGGTATCTTTAGTAGAGGTTCATAAGTAACCAATGATTATTGAATAACTTCGAAAGAAAATAGCAGAGATAGAAAATATTTTCACTCTGCCTTTGATTTTGCCCACTAAGGAGAAAGTCATCCTTGTTAGGACTCTTCAGCAATAAATAGAAATTCTCGACTACAGTCTCTAATGGAGTTTGATTGCAATACCAATTTCGATCGAACTCATTACGGCGGGTTGAGCATGAGTAGATATTCAACGAGCGAAAGTGGTATCGCCATCTATACTTAGTAAGCAAAATCAAAGGTCGATGTAGTACGTAGTTCAGAGACTAGGTGGAATAAAAGCCAGGCGGGCTATTCTTAAAAAAGGAAATAATTCTAGTCCTAATAAGGACGAAACCGGTCCAAGAATGACTTTCTTCTTAGTAGGCAAAATCAAAAATTACACCTAGTGGATATTCACCATGGTTTGCGTTCGCACCTAGACTTTGATATATTTAGTGGATGTCCATGGGATATTGAATACACCTTAAAAAAATTAATTTTAAATATCTGAACGGTAGGTACTATTAGCCACAATGGCGTCATTTTTTAATAATTTGCTATATAATTACTATTATTTATGGACATTTGCATGTCTATAAATTACATCTCATGGATATAAAATAGATATCCACCATGGACTGGACATTCAGTGGATATCGGGATATCCAGTAGATATCAAAAGGATTTGGTGTGCTGTCTGGGTTAGTGATAACGTAATTGTGTTCCAATGACAATGCCGGTAACAGTACCAAGAGCTGCTAGTGGACGAATTTTCGGGGATGTCATGGCCATGGCCCCCATAGCCCTTTCCCTGGAGTCGCCCTTAGACAGCACCTATTGTCGTGCGAGCCATTTTCGACTAGTTCGGCATTGATTAAATTTCTTAAGTGCCATTGAAACCCATGATAGACAGTAAAAATATAATACGTGAGAACCAATTTGGATTTAGGAACCAGCATTCCACTCACTATTGATCAAGTCAACAGAATAACGAATGAAATAGAGATAACACTGGAAGAAAAGAAGAGCTTTCGATAAAGTATGATTAGAGGGCCCTGCATATAAAATAAATAAACTTTTATCCAAGCAATTTTGTGACAACTTAAAATCCTACTTAACTGATAGAATCTGCCAAGTAAAAAAACAAAACTAAGGCAGGGATACCTCAAGAAAGTCTTTTGGGGCCAGAGTTCTTTACCTGTTGTTTACCTTCGTCATACAACAAACGCAAAATGTGAAAGTAGCCACATTTGCCGACGACACAGCCATACTTGTCATCGGTAAAACCATAGAAAAATCGACCAGAAAATTTCAATAGGCAATTAATTAAGGTAGGTTAACTTCATTAATAAAATATTAGTAGAATACCGACCAGTGATATTAAACAATACCATATTCTAATTCGGCGAAATACTTAAATAGAAAATACGTACTGAAGCCAGTATGAACTTACGGCATGCAGCTTTGGGGGTGCGCCAGTAAAAATAACATAAATATAATACAACGTTTCCAGAACAAAATATTAAGGGCACTAGTAAATGCCGCTTGCTATGTAAAACACTCAGACCTTCATAGAGACCTGAGAATGCCTACAGTCGAAGAAGAGAAGAAACCATGGCAAAAAAAAACATGAAAAAAGACTACAGTTCCTGAACAACCGATATCTAATGAGATGGACCAAACCATTTGAATTAGTGATGTGAAATTATGAAATTATGTAAAAGCAGAGCAGAGTGCGCGTGTGTAGTGTATAGTTCATCAGAACAGAAAGGAGAAGATACCATTGGTTGAACTCTTAGTTCTAGCCTCTTAAGTATATTTAAGATTATAATAAAGATAAATTGGTGGTTGGTTGAAATATAGCTGCTTGCAATGCAAACTAATAAAAAAAACTTCCAAAAATGTCGCAGCACAACTGAAGTTCAAAAAAATTGAAGGAAAATTGGTCTTTAAGTGAAGTTTCTGCTGAATTAAATGTCAGTAAAAGTTGCATATTTTACATTAAGACCTTTCAGGCAAGGCATAGGGAATGAAAGGAATGAAAATGAAAACAATACTCAGAATATATTTGTCAA